TAACGACTGAGCCACCCAGGCACCCCACAGCACTGTCTTTTTTAAGTAAAAACAATTTCCCTTGAATTGACTTCACTGAACTGTTAAGTAAAATTTGAACAGTTGACGGTCTCCTTTCCTAAGAAACAAGTGTTTGAAATAAACTAGAACTTATTCTAAGTAAGTTTGTAAATTGTTTTACATTTCCATGTTACCAATCTTCCTCAATGTTTGATGCTTTAAGGAAAAACCGTAAACCACCAGGACATTCTAAGAGGTATCTGGGAGTCAGGGAGGGACCTTGACATTGCCAGGCTATGTGGCTTCTCAGCACCTTGCTTTCCTCCTTTAAATCAAGAGAATTAGATGAAATCATTTCTGTGGCTCCTTCAAGCTCCAGCATTTTATTATAGTATTAGCAAAGAAACATGACTTTGAAAAATATAAAAAGATGATGTATTTTTAAAACTCCATATTTCTCTCATAGCTAAAAAACCTACTTTAAATGTCATTTTTACTCATCATCATCTCTGCTTATCACCTAGTGTCTGAATTACAAGACAATTTTTTTTTTTTAACGGTTTCAGGGTCATTCCTTTCTTCCTTTTCTGGAAATAACCAGTGTGGCCAAAATAGGGTATATAAATTAAGGGTGTTATAACTTAACTGACTTTTAAAGCCAATAATACTGACCTTTGAGACCTGGCTTTTTCCTTGGTCCCATCAATCACTTCTATACCACCTCCCCCAATACAAAGGGTTAGGCAGATGTGGGTACAGTTTGTATTCCTGAGGGTTAGAGTAGTGGAGAGGAGAAAAAGGGGGCAATGAAAAGAGGAAACACCATATTTTTTCCTTTTTATATTTCATAGTGAGTATAGCTATATTTTTTTTTTTTGTGAGTATAGCTATATTTAATTTAAAGGTGAATATATGTGTAAATGTTGATTCCTTTCTGTATTTAGGTCATACTGCTAGATATTACACTGGAACTTCAGAAGCAAATTATGTCTGAATTGGAAATTCTTTATAAGGTAATTTTTCTTGGTCATTTTTTCTCATAAAGCATCTTACAGTATTGGCTTGCAGGTTTGTTTGTTTGTTTTTAACTACCTTTGTCTTATTTTTGTTACAGTGTGATTCATCATATATCATAGGGTTTTATGGTGCGTTTTTCGTAGAAAACAGGATTTCAATATGTACAGAATTCATGGATGGTGAGTTTTCCCTATTATAATATTTTAAAAATGATGCGGGAGGTAGAGTACTTTAAAACCTGGTTCTGATATAGATGTCAAGTAGAATTAAAAATAATTAAAATATACTAATAATTACCTCCTTTATACTCTAAACATCTCAGTGTTAGAGGTTCCTGGTGTTAAATATTTACAGCTGAGGTATAATTTCAAGAATGTAATTTCATTTACTTTTATTGAAAATTTAAATAGAACAGATTAAATGCTGGTCTAATCAGTGGTTTGATATTTGATTCTTCCATACAATCTGTCCTTACTTGCAAAACAGATGTTCTGTTCTTCTAATGTTTCAATAGCCAAAACAGATTTTCTTTTAAAGAAATCTATTAACCCAATGTCCTGTGTCTTTTAGAAAGAAATCGGTTCTTAATTGCAAGATAAGAAATTGTTTTTCAACACAGCTGTTTAGCCAAGATGCGTTTAGTTTTCTTTGGACTCTAGCCCTTTCCTTTCATCTGTATTTTTCATTCATTTCTATGTTGCTAACTCTTTCTTGATCTGAATATTTTGGCAAAATGCAGATTTCTTGGTACCCTATCCCTGAAATGATGTCATCATTGTTACCCATTTTAAATCAAAGCAATCTTTAGATTTTACATATCAGTTTTTCAATGTCTAGCGCATTAAAACTCAACATTTTTTTAATATACTTAATTCATCTGGGGGATTCTCAGTATATTACTAAAGCAACTAGTTCATGCCTTGCAAGACTTTTTAATAAGCCAACATTGGTACCTTGATAATATAATAAGGTATATCATGTGTTCTAAATTCAGTTTCATTAAAATATGTATTTATTGAGATGGCATATTTAATCACCAAAAAGTCACCATTTTGATGTATACAATTCAGTGGTTTTGAGTATATTCACAAGGTTGTGCAACCTCATCATCTCTAATTCCAAAACATTTTTAATCACCCCAGAAACAAACTCCTTAGCCTTTAGCAGCCGCTCGCTCTTCCCTAATTCCACTAATCTGTGGCAACAACTAATCTACTTTGTGTCTCTAGATTTCCTTATTTTTGACTTTTTATGTAAACGGAATCATGCAGTATGTGGCCTTTGTGTCTGGCTTCTTATACTTAGCATAATGTTCTTAAGGTTTATCCATGTATCAGTACTTTATTCCTTTTTATGGCCAAATAATAATCCATTGCATGGACATACCACATTTTCTTCATTCATTCATCAGTTAATGGGCACTTGGGATGTTTCCACTTTTGGGCTGTTATGAATAGTGCTGCTCTGTGCATTTGTGTACAAGTTTTCATGTGGACATACGTTTTCACTTCTCTTAAGTGTCTATATCTAGAAGTTAAATTGCTGGGTCATATGGTAACTCTATGTGCAATTTTTTGAGGAACTGCCAAACTGTTCCATTCTATTTCACACCAGTTTGCCTTTACACCTGCAATGTATGAGGGTTCCAAATCCTCAACATCTTTGCCAACACTTGTTACTGTGTGTTTTTTTTTATTATAGCCTGGTGAGAAATGGTATCTCTTTAGTTTTGATTTAGATTTCTTTTTTTTTTTTTTTTTAAAGATTTTATTTATTTATTTGACAGAGAGAGACACAGCGAAAGAGGGAACACAAGCAGGGGGAGTGGGAGAGGGAAAAGCAGGCTTGCCGCTGAGCAGACAGCCCGATGCGGGGCTCGATCCCAGGACCCTGGGATCATGACCTGAGCCGAAGGCAGTCGCTCACCCAACTGAGCCACCCGGGCGCCCCTGATTTAGATTTCTTAATGACTGATGATGTTGACAGTATTTCCATGTGCTTATTGGCCATTTGTATATCTTCCTTGGAGAAATGTGTATTCAAATCCTTTGTCTATCTTTACATGGGTTACTTGTGTTCTTATTGTTGAGTTTGTAAGAATTCTTTTTATATTCTGGATACTAGACTCTTATCAGATATGTGATTTGCAAATATTTTCTTCCATTCTGTGAGTTGTCTTTTAATTTTCTTGATAGTGTCCTTTGAAGCACAAAAGTTTTAAAATTTGATATTCAGTTCGTCTGTTTTTTCTTTGGTTGTTTGTGCTTTAGATGTCATATGTAAGAAACTGTTGAAAATTTATACCTGTTTTCTTCTAAGAACTTTATAATTTTCACTCTTACATTTGAGTTTTTGATCCATTTTGAGTTACTTTTGTATATGGTATAGAGTCCAAATCCATTCTTTTGCATGTGAATATCCAGTTGTCCTAGCACCATTTGTTAAGATGATTATTCTTTCCCATTGAATTTTCTTGGCACTCTTGGCAAAAACTTATTGACCATGAAATATATTTCTGGGCTTTTGATTCTATTCCATTGATCTATTTGCCCATCCTTGTGGCAGTACCAGACTGCACTTGCTTGCTTTTACTTTATTATTCTAGATGCTTTGTGGTAAGTTTTAAATTAAGAAGTGTGAGCACTCTGACTTTATTCTTTCTCGATGATTTTGGCCATTCTGGGTCCTTTGCATTTTCATATGAATTTTGTAATCAGCTTGCTAAATTTGCACACACACCAAAAAAGGTCCAGATAGGATTTTGATACAGCTTGCAGTGAATCTATAGATCAATCTGGGGAGTACTGCCAACTTAGCAATATTAAATCTTTCACTCCATGAACACAGACTGTCTTTCCATTTATTCAGATCCTCTTTAATTTTTTTCAGTGTTTTATAGTTTCCGGTGTTCAGGTTTTGCAGTTATTTTGTTAAACTTATTCCTAAATATTCTTTGATACTATTATATGTTGAACTTTTAATTTCATTTTTAATTGTTCATTGCTAGTGTATAGAAATATAAATGAGTTTTGTATATTGATCTTGTATCCCGCTACCTCGCTAAACTTGTTTCTTAACCCTAATAGGTTTTCGTAGATTCCTTAGGGTTTTCTATATAGATCATGGCACCTGCAAGTAGATGTAGTTTTACTTCTTCTTTCCAATCTGGATGCTTTTTATTTCTCTTCCTTGCTTAACTACCCTGGCTACAGCCTTCAGTACAGTGTCAAGTAGAAGTGGTGAGGGCGGACATCTTTCTTTTTCTCCTGATCTTAGAGGGAAAGCTTTTAGTCTTTCACTATTAAGTGTGGTATTAGTTGTGGGTTTTTAGTAGATGTCCTTTATTGGGTTGTCAAAGTCTCCTTCTCTTCCAAGTTTGTTGAGTATTTTTATCATGAAAAGGCATTAGATTTTGTCAGGTGGTTTTTCTGTGTTTGTTGAAATGATCATGCGGGCGCCTGGGTGGCTCAGTTGGTTAAGCCATCTGATTCCTGATTTCAACTCAGCTCATGATCTCAGGGTTGTGAGATTGAGCCCCACGTCAGGCTCTGTGCTTAGGAGGGAGTCTGCTTAAGATTCTCTCCCTCTCCCTTTGACTCTCCCCCCCATGCTCTCTCTCTCTCTCAAATAAATAAATAAATCTTTAAGAGAAGAGTCTTAAAAAGAACTATAGAAATATATGAACAAAAGAAGAGAATAATCCAATCCCCAAGATGTCCCCTTACATATTTTGTTATTCTGTTGTTAGGTGCGTATGTGTTTATAATTGTTATATCTTCACGATGGATTGACTCTTCTATCGTTATAAAATGTTTTTGTCTCTAGTCACTGTATTTGTCTAAAAGTCTATTTTGTCTAATATTAGTGTGGTCATCCCAGCTCTCTGTTGATTCTTATTTGCTTATTATGTCTTTTGCTATTTGGCCTTCAACCTATTTGAATCTTTGAATCTAAAGTGCATCTCTTGTAGACATAGAGTTGGGTCATTTTTTTAATCTGTTCTGCCAATCTGTCAGTATTTAATTCATTTACATTTAATATAATTACCAGGAGTGCCTGGGTGGTGCAGTCAGTTAAATGTCTGACTGTTGGTTTTGGCTCAGGTCGTGATCTTGGGGTCATGAGATGGAGACCCATGTCAGACTCTGTGCTCACTGTGGAGTGTGCTTGGGATTCTCTCTCCCTCTCCCTCTGCCCTGCCACCCCCAAATAATAACTAAATCTTTAATATAATTACCAGCAAGGTAGGATTCATATCTGCCATTTTACTACTTGTTTTCTTTACATCTTACATCTTTTATGTTCCTTTGTTTCTCCATTACTGCTTTATTTTATGTTAAATAGATATTTTTTAATGTATTGCTTAAATTCTCTTGTGGTTTCTTTTACTATATTTTTTGAGTTATATTTTTGGATTTCCTAGAGATTATTATTAACATTTTAACTTGTAACAACTTAGTTCCAATTGATATCAACTTTTTTCAAGTATATAAAAACACTGCTTCTATATAGCTCCATTCTTTCCCTCTCCTTTATACTGTTATTGCCATGTAAGTTACATCTTTATAAGTTGTATGCTTATTAATGCAGATTTATACTTACTGTTTTTTGCAGTTCTCTTTTTTATTTATTTATTTTTTTAAAAGATTTTATTTACTTGACAGAGAGACACAGCAAGAGAGGGAACACAAGCAGGGCGAGGGGGGAGGGAGAAGCAGACTCCAGGCTGAGCAGGGAGCCCGATGTGGGGCTCAATTCCAGGACCCTGGGATCATGACCTGAGCCAAAGGCAGACGCCCAATGACAGAGCCACCCAGGTGCTCCTGCAGTTCTCTTTTAAATCAGATAGCAGAAGAAGACTTACAAACAAAAAATACATGTATCTTGTCTTTTGTATTTACCTATATAGTAACCTCTACCAGTGTACTGTATTTCTTTGTGTGGATTTGAGTTACTGTCTAGTAACTTTCCTCTGAAATTCCTTCAGTCTGAAGGACTCCCTTTTATTTCTTAAAAGATTTTATATATTTATTTTAGAGAAAGAGAGAGAGAGAGCAGAGAGAGGAGCAGAGGAAGAGGGAGAGAGATAATCTCCAGCAGACTCCAGGATGAGCGCAGAGCCCTATGTGGGGCTCGATCTCATGACCCTGAGATCATGACCTGAGCCAAAACCAAGAGT